CTCCTCCCTCGAGCTCCTCTCCACCCACCGCCTCCAGACTCTCTCCGCCATCCGCCGTGACGAGGTGAGGTCGTTGATCCACCGTCTGATCACGATCAGCAAACGACGAAGCGACGTGGATGATCGGTTTGTGAACTTGAGAGAGGGTTTCGTCGAGTTGACGCAAAACTCGATGATGAGGATGATCGCCGGGAAGCGGTACTACGGTGACAGCACGGAGGATTTGGAGGAGGCGGCGAGATTTCGGGAGATTCAGACGGAGACGATTCGAGTGAGCAGCCAGTCAAATTTGGGAGACTACTTGCCGATTATACGCTGGGTTGGTGGGCACAAAAGGTTGGAAAACGACATGGAAGAGGTGCAGAGAAAGAGAGACGGGTTTATGCAGTATTTGATAGAAGAACACAGGAGAAAAATGGAAGCTGAGATTTATTGTCGTTTGCCATCGAAAGAGGGAATTAGGAAAACGTTGATTGAGGTTTTGTTGTCGCTTCAGCAAACGAATATTACACGGACGAGATTATTAGAGGCCTAATGCTTGTAAGTCTTTTATTAATCATTAATTAAATTTCATTCCTCAACTTAAAAGTATAGATAATGCTAAATTAATTTGAGCAGGTTCTGTTAGTGGCAGGAACAGATACTTCAGTAAATGCAATGGAGTGGGCATTTTCTCTAGTGCTGAACCATCAAGAAGTTCTAAACAAGGCCCAAGCTGAGATTGATCGCCACGTGGGCACTGATCGACTGGTTGATGAATCGGATCTTCCAAAACTTCGTTACCTCCAAAGCATAATAACCGAAACGCTGCGTATTTACCCGCCGGTTCCGTCCTTAATACCTCACGAGTCGTCCGATGATTGTGAAGTTGCCGGCTTCCATGTCCCACGTGGCACTACCTTGTTTGTGAACGCGTGGGCCATCCAGAACGACCCAAGTGTTTGGGTGGACCCAAAGAGTTTCAGGCCGGAGAGATTTGATGTGGTAATTGGGCCTAAAGATGGGCTCAGGTGGATGCCGTTTGGGTCCGGGAGACGGGGCTGTCCAGGTGAGGGCTTGGCCATGCGGATGATTGGGCTGACGTTGGGCTCTCTGATCCAGTGCTTTGATTGGGAGAGGCCCAGTAAGGAGTTGATAGACATGACGGAAGGTGTGGGAATAACAATGCCTAAAGCTACACCCCTGACAGCCAAGTGTCGCCCTCGTCCCAACATGCTGAAGCTTCTTTCTGAACAAATTGGAAGTATTAATGTTGTGACCTAGTTTAGTTTGTTCATTGAAAATTGGAATAGATGGGTATTTTAGGTGGGTATATACGTGTTCTCTGTATAAGAAATAAGTTTCCATCCTAATCTTTATTCGCATCACTTTTCTTTTTTTTTTTTTTTTTTTTTTTAAAAAAATTTTTTTTCATTTGATTGGCTAAGCTTTTAAATGTAATACAGATTTGGCACTATAACACTTGTCTATGTCATGGCACTTTCGACGGACAAGAAGTTTTGGTCAAATATTTTGTCTTGAAATGGCTCCCAAAGTTTTTGACTTGTTACATAACAATTGATCCCAATACAGAGACCCGTACAAAGAGTAACAGTTATTAAACACGTAAAAAAAAAAAAAGAAATGTTATAGGCAACAAAAGTATTTAACACCGCATACTAATAAAAGATAGGTCAAATTTACATATGAAATTCACTTTTTATTAGTGATAGTGGTTAACAATATTGGTAGTATCTTTAAACATATTTTTCATAAGAAATAGATAACTTTTTAACTGGTATAATGCAACAGAATCTTCCCCCTGTTCATTGGGAAAAAAAAATTGTTTAATTTCATTTCTAGAAAATTCTCGACTTTACATCTTAGAAACATAATCATAACTTGCCCTATGATATAATACAAATAATTGAAATAGAAGCATGTGTAGAAGAGTAAAGGCAAGCGCATCAATAAAAGAGAACCGATGAAAGTGTTTATGTCAACTTTAGTAATGCAATGGCCAATGGTTGTGCTTTCAGATTCCGCTGGTACTTAATTTGGACTGCAACATAGTGGCCTATATATGCATAGCAATATAGCATTTTGGTTGATATTTAGGACTTGTTTAGTTCCTGATTTAAATTTTTAATTTAAATTAAAATATAATTTTATGTGAGAATTTTTTATTATAATAAAAAAATTAAATATGATTATTTTTAAAATTTTTTTACTGAAATAAAATTTAAATTTTAAACTCAAATCTATTTTAGGGTGTTGATAAACATGAAAAAGTTTATCAATGTTTCTTTATCCAAGCCTGTCTTTTGGATAAAGTCCAAGCAACAATCATAACAAAAGACTCATTATCTGGTTTTGCAATACACAAGTCTTGAAACTTCTTTATCTCATATTTAAACCAAGTGTCTTAATGATAGCAAAGTCAACATGGTCCTAGTTCTCTGTGTTTGGACTATATGAGGTTATAAAGTCACTTACCTCCACGTGGAAACCACACGGTCATAATCTATACTATAGGTATAAAGATTCTTTTTTCCCGTTTGTTTGATGATTAAAATTCAAGATGTCCCCCATATGCATTGCCCGTAGATCTAAACAAATACTTTTATGCGATTGGCAAATAAAAACAACTATTTTTATGCATTTTTGCAAGTTGTTTCAAGTATTTGGTTGTATGCATATGTAGGCCATATTGGCAGCTTATCCTCTTGTCAAATGTAACCTTTTAAGCTTCTCAAGAACACTTAAAACTTTAAAAAGTGACAATTCTCTCTCTCTATATATATATGAACTAATAAAACGATAACAATTCTTAAAAATAAAAGAAACCAACACCCAAAAAAAAAAAAAAAAAGATGGTAGGAGAATTCAGATTACTTTTCCATGTTGACATCAACAAAATTAGCTCGGACTTACTTTTCTACTGATTTTAGTAGAAGAATATATGGCCTAATTACTTTTCCATGTTTTTTATTATTATTTATATATATATATATAACTCTCTTTCTTAAAGGCATTTTTAGGAGTAAATTTTATCAACGAGTTCAACTCAATTAGCTAGTATTCACATCCAGCTAGCTAGTTCAAATAAAACTCTTTCACGTTTAATACTCGAACAAATACCAAGTCGAACATGACATCATTTGACCAAAGAGCAGCGGAGATGTTTTTCAACATTCGTTTTTTTCCTCCATTGATAATTGAGATAAATTTGAGCTACATAAAAATAAATCTTTAATTCTTTTAAAATGCCTTTAGCGTTTAATGTTAATTTTTTTGATTGATACGATAACGAATCCACTATAATATCGATCTTTATATGCTTAAAATTGTTGAGATTTGATATTTATTATTCAAAAGTTATATAGCTAACAAGTGATCGCACAAAAACTAGAAAGTAAAATAGAAAGTTGAACGAAATAGTGATCATTGTATTCCAAATCCATTAGAGAGAGCTATCTGTAGTGAAAAAAAAAAAAAAAAAAAAGTCAGAGGTTTGTAATGAAAAATAGAAAAAAAAAACGGAAAGAAAAAAAAAGGACAAAAAGCTGATTTTCCAAGTTATGCAATTAGAATGCTTTATTAAACCCCATTTAGTTTGCTGATTCAAATTTTTAATTTGAATTGAGATGTAATTTTATGTGAGAACTTTTTATTATAATAAAAAAATTAGATGTGACTGTTTTTAAAAATTTATTTACTGTAATAAAACTCGAATCGATAAAATAAACAGGGCTTTATACTCTACTGAATACCATTAAAAAAACTTTTCATTAAATTTACTCTTTTTTTTTATAATTAAATTTACTTGTCAGCTAGGTTTGTACGTTAAGCCAAACCAATCAACAATTGATCACCGATGGTTTACGTCTATGACCGGGATTGGACATCGTTAACGCGATGTCACGTACGTTGATTATCAATCCTCAGTCACAAATTGAAGAAAAACGTTGTAAATAAGGATGTATATAAACCGAACAACCTGTAAACCTAACACACTCCACCCCAACCCAACCTGAAAGAGGTAATTTATAACATTATTTTTTTTTTATTTTTCAGCCCACTAAATGTCTAGCATGAGGTGTTTGGGGCGATTTATGGGTTAGACCTATAATAACCCGCATACCCCAACTCAACCCGCACAAACATGCCTGATAAAGAACCTATGAGTGTAGACTAATAAGGATGGTTGCTGTTGCAGTTCTTGTTTTGGATGGATTTGAATTAAACCTCTAATTTATGTTTGCTCTATGTTTGATGTTTGATGGACTATTTTGCTTCATGTTTGATGTTGGATTGAACTTTGAATTGCTATCTATTTGATGATAGACTAATCAGTATTATTTCTATTTGATGATGAACTGGCCCCGTTCATTTCACTGATTCGAGTTTTACAACAATAAAAAGCTCTAAAAAATAATCACACATAACTTTTTTACTACAGTAAAAAGCTATCACATAAAGACACATTTCAACTCGAATTAAAAACTCGAATCAACAAACTAAACAGACCATTTGAATGTTGGAGTTATGTTTGATTATCCGTATTATTTCTATTTGATGATCAGTGATGAATTTTGAATATTAGAGTTATTATTTCTATTTGATGATGAACTTTAACTGTTGGATTGAACTTTAATTTTTTAAATGATGAACCCGACCACACAACTCACTCCGCCCCGCCCCAACTCAATCAAAATATCATTAGAACTAAATATGTACAATCCGTATTTTTTAGGACGGGTTAAGAAAAAATCCTACCTCGCATTAACCTAACCCTAATTGTAAACAAGCATTTTTGACGTGTCCATAATTTATTTGTCAGAATCCCTTAATCTCAAGGAATGTCGCCACAAATCGGTTGTAATTTCTTCGACTCCCAAAATTAAAATAAAAAATAAAATTAAAACTGGAAAGAAAAAGGACTATGACAATAAAAGAGAGAGAGAAAAAAAAAAGTATAAATACACCAGATGGAAAGTCCCACGCGCTCACACGTTCTCATCGGCAAATCTCTCTTTTCCTCTCCTCCCGTCTTCCAGGCCATAGTCGCACACAACCTCATCTACACACTACTACCTTCACCAATTCTCTGAAACAAAAATCGATTTTTGAATTAAAAATCGAATATATTTAATTATTATTATATATAGATATATAAAAACATTCCGGTGCCGAAGAATTTGCCGGCGCCGACACGATGAGCGCTATGCCAAGGGAAGATGACAAAGACGAAGAAGCCAACCGCTTACTGCGATCCGAGCCGACTTCTCCACCGGCCACGACGCTTTCCTCGCCGGACGACGAGGAGGAGGATGTGGCCTTCGAGGCGCGAGAGAAGATCCTGATCGTGGATTTGGACTCGCCGGAATCCGTGGATGCGAACGCAGTCCCGCCGTTCTCGTGGAAGAAGCTGTGGCTGTTCACGGGGCCGGGGTTCCTGATGAGCATAGCGTTTCTGGATCCGGGGAACCTTGAGGGGGATCTCCAGTCGGGGGCGATCGCCGGCTACTCGCTGCTGTGGCTGCTTATGTGGGCCACCATTATGGGCCTACTGATCCAGCTCCTGTCGGCGAGGGTCGGCGTCGCCACCGGTCGCCACCTGGCGGAGCTCTGCCGCGAGGAGTATCCCAATTGGGCCAAAATGTTGCTTTGGTTCATGGCGGAGCTGGCGTTAATCGGGGCTGATATTCAGGAGGTCATTGGGAGCGCCATTGCTATCCAGATTCTTAGCCATGGGGTTTTGCCGCTTTGGGCTGGAGTCCTCATTACGGCGTCGGATTGGTTGGTATTCATGTCTCTTGTCATGGTTTTTTGCTTCGAGAATTTCCTAGTTTAGTATTTAACGTGAAATTTTAGTTAAACCTTCTGGAATTAAGCAACAAAAGAAGGAAAAAAATTAACAAAGCACGAAAACAAAAGAAATTTTAGAGATGCTAGTTTCTTCCATGTGAATCGTGTTGGATGTTTCGAACTTTGTCATTTTCTGCTGTTTTTGTAGTTATCCCTGGTGACTTATAATTTAACTGTTTTCCTATTTGTTTTTGTGCTAATTCTGGACTCTTATAAGGAATTTAGACTTTTTATCATCATGATATGCAAAATTCAACTTCAGTTGATAAATCCTTGACCACAGTTAGTTGCCGCTGAGAAAGGCATGGTTGTGAAGCTTTCTGAAATACTCTTAGCCATTTTAGTCTCATGAATTATACTTGGTTCAGGTCAAAGAGAAAATGAGAAATTAGTTTGTCAATTATTGGGGTGGAGTTAGTGTTGTTTCAAGTGGTCAGACACTAAGCTTCCATTGTTTTATTGTTCTTTTTTTTTTTTTTTTTGGATTGTTGTAAATCCATCGTATTTTCTTTCCATGTTGACTTGGGCTTAATAAAATCTGTAGTAGTAAATGATTCTCAGCATTTAGGTTAATTTTGTTAACTATGGTTTATGTTTCTGTGTGGCGGCCAGTTTCATTTTCTTATTTCTTGAGAACTATGGAGTGAGGAAGTTAGAAGCTGTTTTTGCTGTTCTCATTGCAACAATGGCTTTATCATTTGCCTGGATGTTTGGTGACACAAAGCCAAGTGGAAAAAAACTTCTGATGGGTAATCTCTGTAACCTTTTTTCTGTTATATATATGGTCATAATTTAGTGTGAATCGACTGGAAATGTACATAAGAGGGCAGAAGTAATTTTTATAACTGAATTTTCTGCTACTTGTAGGTCTTTTGATTCCAAGACTTAGTTCAAAAACAATTCGGCAGGCTGTGGGAGTAGTGGGTTGTGTCATAATGCCTCACAATGTATTTCTGCATTCTGCTCTGGTGCAGTCTAGAAACATTGATCCCCACAAGAAAAGCAGGGTCCAAGAGGCACTGAACTACTACTCTATTGAATCATCTGTTGCACTTTTGGTTTCATTCATGATCAATTTGTTTGTGACAACCATTTTTGCTAAAGGATTTTATGGTACCAAACAAGCCGATAGTATAGGACTAGTAAATGCAGGTCAGTATCTTGAGGAGAAGTATGGTGGGGGTGTCTTTCCGATTCTTTATATATGGGGAATCGGATTGTTGGCTGCTGGACAGAGTAGCACAATAACTGGCACATATGCTGGGCAGTTTATCATGGGTGGTTTTCTTAACCTCCGTTTGAAGAAATGGATGAGGGCGTTGATCACTCGGAGTTTTGCTATTGTTCCAACCATTGTTGTGGCAATTTTTTTTAATACATCTGAAGCCTCTTTGGATATCTTGAATGAATGGCTCAATGTCCTTCAGTCTATACAGATTCCTTTTGCGCTTATTCCTCTTCTTACTTTGGTGACAAAGGAGCAGGTTATGGGAGTTTTTAAGATTGGGCCTGTTCTTGAGGTAAGTTGCTAACTTGGTAACGCATACTATTTTCAAACATTTATCCATCTACAAATTTCTATTCATACTGGTTCATTACTTGCTTGATTGAGTTCACACATGATTATTCTATTTTATCACGCGAAGTTGGGAAGTTCCGGAGAATAACTTGAGTCCTTTATCTCTCACTCTTTACAGAATAACTTGGTTTTGTCAAATTTATTGCTTCTTACTAGTTTCTAAACCATGGATTGCCCTTGAAAGAACATTCAATATTCATTTATGTGGAAAACTTGCAAAACAGACAGAGCATACAGCGTGCAGAATTTTCGATATTTAGTCCTGTCATTTTAAGAAGTTCATGGCAGATCGTAGTACAATTTCTGCTTTGGTATTCTGTTTCTGGTTCTAATCGGTTAAAGAAGAAAGAAGTGGACAAAGTTTTTTTTTTTTTCCCCTTTCTTTTTGATATTGAAAGTTACTACGTCAACAATAGATTTGCTGCATAATATCATTCAGTTTCACCTAGAGTTACGACTGAATACAGAGCATGATTGTATTATATCGTTGAAATTCTGGATATATGTATTTTTTCCTGTGCTATAAAGTGAGAGAGTATTAATCTCAACTCCATTGATCAAGTTTTGAATACTATATAGTTTTCTTTTTCTTTTCTTTTGCACAAAAGAAAAACTAGGCAACTTCCCATTATAATTGTCTTTGTTAATTTTTATTGCAGAGAATCGCGTGGACTGTGGCTGCGCTGGTAATAGTCATTAATGGGTACCTATTGCTAGATTTCTTCATTTCTGAAGTTAAGGGAGTCCTGTTTACTTCTGTTGTCTGCCTCAGCACAGCTGCATATGTATCATTTATTGTATATCTTGTTTCACATTGCGGTGTCCTTCCTTCCACTTGGTGGAGCTTGCTAACCAAACGTATTGCATACATCGGCAACTAAGTCCAACAGATTCATGTCAGTTTCTGCATATATTTGAATTATGGTGCTGCCCAGAAAAAAGCAAAGCTAATTATTTAGCACGAGGGTGATCACATATGTTTTGAGAAGTAAGCATTCTTTCATGGTAACTTTCTCTAACCGTGGTGGATACATAAAAGCGCGTCTACAATAGCGAACAATTGATAGCATTTGTTCAATGAATTGAGGATTGAAGATATTTCCCCTTTTAGAGAATGACGAACATAGCATCAATAAACACCTTGAATGAAATTGTATAATGCAAAACATTCGTTATGGCCATGTTAGATTTTAAGGAATTTAGAATAGGCTGCTTAGTTATTCTTTGATGTTAAACAGCTTATTATGTAACCATAGTCAGATGGCACATTGGAACAACTTACAAGTCGATACAACAAGATGGAGTGAATTTTGCATGCCGTTCAGTTATCATTTTCTTTTTCTTTTAGGTGGGTTTTTATTTTATTCTTGCGTTTCTGATCATTTGCAATTTTGGGCGATGATGTTTGATTCAGCTCATTCATAAGCAAAAAAGATGTTTGCTTTCCAGTGTTTTGGAGGCAAGCTCAACGAGTGTGGATTGATGCAATCAAGAAACTCACTGGGCTTTTAAACAGAAATTTCCATTAGGAAACAAGAGGTTGTCGTTTTAGCTTAGTAGACTAAGCAGTCAGTCTTCTTTTTGATTGACCCAGCAAGGAGCAAATGAATATCAAGAAGGGAACACTTTCCTTGTCAATATACTTTTCAATTTTCATCGGCATATTGACTTCAGTTTTGCTGGGTCAAGCACTAACAAATTTTTTTTGTTTTGTAATATATGAGGGATTAGTAATACAAGATTAAAGCAATATGGGCATAAATCCATATAATATTTCTTGGTTTCATAATGAGTAATACAATATTAAATTGATCAAAGAACTACCAAAGGACATGTTTCAGAAATGAGTAGTTAACCAGGCAAGTCATTCAAGTCTTCCCAAGTTATTCCTGGAAGATTCATAAAGACAGAATCAAACTAGCAACTTCCACTAAAACTTGCATTAAAAAAGAAAAGAATATCCATTCAAGTGACACAATAATTTGCTTTTTGTACATTGGACCCCCACTGACAATTCGCGTATTCCGAAGAAAAAAAATAATTGTAGTAGTCGTACTCGAAATAGCAAGACAAAAAAGAAACTTGCCATAGTTTGTCATAGTTCTTTCCCTTACTTTAAAAGGAAAATGTTGAACTATGATTAGAAGATCACATTAACATGCAGAACTTAATGAATAGTGCTTTTTAAAAAAAAAATAAAGGTAAAGATAAATACTTTTAGGAGACAAAGAAAACGTCTAAAAAGCTCATATTTTTTTATTGTTTTGAATTCTGAGCCTTCAAAACTCATCTTCTTTATGGAATAATTATTTTCTCTAAAATGACATGGGAATGAGTTTTTTTAGTAGAATCAGAAAAAATAAATTATTGATAGTTTTTCTTTTACAGTTGTTAGATTTATATAAAATTTATTCTGCATTTTTTTTTTTTACCAAATTCAACTGTCAGAAATTAGTACTAGCACTAGAGAAATTATCAAAGAAAGTCCCCAAAAAGAAAAAAAAAGATATGGGAAGTAAATAGCAATAAAAGAACAATTTGATGTTAAAAAAAATAATTGATTAATTTCATAAACATCCCTAAATCATGTACCCTAATTGAACATGCCCACGAATTTAGAAGATGAAACATTTCACCTGCTGAATTGTAAAAATTGTTCAATGAAATGAGATTTTCAACTATATAATTTTATAAATACCTTAAAACTGTTAATTTTATGTCAATTTGAAATTGGAGGACAAGTTGAAATAAAATTAAAAGATTGGAGACATGTTTACTTAAAATCAATAGTTCAGAACAAATTAATTTAAAATTAATAGTTTAAAAGGAATTTATGAAATTACTATTAGGGGCACATAATCAATTTGTTAGTATTATATTTTTATATACAAGAAAAAAGTACGTGGTCTGACATGATTTTGTATACGTTTATTATTTATGTCATTTTAAATAATTTGGTGTCATTCTCTTTATTAATTTAATGATAATTATTTATTTTTAAATTAAGTGACATAAATAATATTTTGAACCATGTTGATTGTTATTTTTAATTTTTTCCTATGTATAAATAATAAATCGGAGTGTTTTAAAAATATTAACCATCATTTCAACTTTCACTTCATCTTACTAAACAATATGAATTATTATTCATATTCATCTTTCATATTCCACTTCATTCCTAATTTATGTATCCATCATACTTTTCCCTCATTCCTGAAATTTTGTACGAATGATGAGAGCACAAAGTTCTAATTATCTCAGGCAATTTCGTGGCATCTTCAACTTTGTTCTTATAAAAAGATAATAATAAAAACCTTTTTGCGGTTGCAGTGATGATGCTAACTATTAAACTTTAAAGCATAATATACAAGTTTTCTATTATGAGAATGCAATATTTATACATAGAGAATCTTAATCTAATTCAAATAATTTAAATTAAATACGTATCTCTTAATAACTAATAATTTAAAATAATTCAAACTTTAAACTAAAAGATAGCCACTAACTTAATCTCTAAATACTAGGGATAAGCTAAATATAAACTAATCTAAATTTAGATAAACTAATCACATTTATCATGCCTCAACGAGATGGAGTTCCGATAGGAGAATCTAATCTTGAATAGTGATAGAAGAAATTGACATGAGTGACGGGCGTAAGTCATGGGTGCAATCTCGCCAAGAGGAGAAGAGGGTGCATGAGTGTGCAGGATCGGAATTAATGGAGACACATTGGTTTCGATAATTTTAAGAAGATCTGGGACTGGTTAGAGTATGAATCTCTAATACCATAATACATTTAGACTTTGAAGAGTTTTTTATTATGAGAATGCAATATTTATACGAGTATTTAAACTAAATATTTATCTCCTAATAACTAATAATTTAAAATAATTAAAACTTAAACTAAAAGATAGCCACTAACCTAATCTCTAAATATTAGAGATAAGTTAATTACAGACTAATTTAAATTTAAATAAATCAATCATGTTTGTCACTGACTTGGAAGTTCAGCCCCAAAAGAATGCGTACATAAACCTAGCTCATTAATGATTGTTCAATACATGATTAGATTCTAGAGCTTCTTTGTTTTTTTTATTATTATTATATAATCGAGAGTTTCTTATTTGGAATTATTTAACCCAACATATGATTTATATATTATTATTTATTACATTATTATTATTATTATTATAAGCAAATTAGAGCTTCGTACCTTATTTAAACAAATTCCATTTCTCCAAAAAAGGTTCGTTTTTAACATGTTTGTAGCAAGAATACATAATAAAGGAAACAAGTTGAACGTGTTGAACGTGTTGAACAAGTTGAATATGTGCGAAATTAGTGATGACCATCAAATTTTTATTTATAAAGCACATATACGGCCCAGATCACACATGCACTACAAAAAGAGTAATGAAAACGACATTTTTCTTCTTTTTCTTCTTCTTCTTCTTCTTCTTCTTCTTCTTATTTTTAAATAAAAAATAAATAGAATTTTAAACCAAAAAAAAAAAAAAAACCCGAGTCTGTAAGACAATAATACTCAAATTATCTATTCATTAAAAAGATAAGAATTTTTTTGGTAGAGCAAGGAAAAAAAAATGCCTAAACTCGTTTACTCCATTTGTACCCAGTATTTGAATGCGGTGAGACTTTTCGTGGGATTGCCCAGTCTTAAATTAGAAAAAAAAAAAAAAAAAAAAAAAAAAAAGACACGGTATTTATCATATTAGTGGAGTTTTTCTTTTTCTCAATATACTATCACAAAATTCTGAAAAAAAAAGCCCAAAATCCGGCTAGTTTCTCAACTGAATCCCCATCATCAGTCACTTTTCTTTTTCCTCGGAAATTCATCCTACCGTACAACTGTATAATTTATATTTTTTTTAAATTTTAAAATGATTTATGTCTATCAAATCTTATCACAAAAACAGAACCTTTTTCTCCTCCACCAAGCTGCGGCAACTTATTTCGCAAGTAACGTCCCTACATTAAAAAAATAAATAAAACAAAACAAAAATAACGAAACCCCACCACCAGGCAGCAGCCCTATGACTTCGTCCAGCAGTATCCTCAAAAAAAAAATATATAGTACTACGTAGGTGGGTTGTACATATGATTGGAGAAATCCCAACCGCTTGATCCTTTGATCTTTCTCACTGGTGGTCCATCCTACTGCAGATGAATTATGAATACCACAAACTGAAAAAGGAAACAAAAAAGGCCAAAAAGCAAGATACAATATACAACCTCCACGTGGCGTGAGAGCGACAAACAACCACAATCTCTCACCCCATTGGTCGCTTGTAGGCCCATTCTTCTATGCGACAGACATACGCCGCGTTTCACATTAATACTCTCTCTTTCTCTCTCCATCTCTTTTTCTCTCTCTATCTCTCGCTTTCCTCGCATCGCATGAAAACTTTCTATAAATTGCATGCAAACGCAGATCTTAACGAATCTCCTTCGGTCTCACTACCTTCCCGAGTCTCTCCAGTCTTCTCTTCATCAGTCAATCCCCTTCTGCTCCACCCTTCGCACGACTCCTCCCAATTATATCCCCAATTTTCAATTTTTAAATTTTTGAAAAAGCAAAAAACAAAAATAAAATAAATATGGCTTGCAAATATCTTCTCAAATACACTTCCCTTGCCCTTTAAAAGCCCTTCCCAACCCCAAAACCCTCAAACTTCCTCTCTCTCTCTCTCTCTCAATTAATCCGTTGGCGAACTCTAACGATGAACGGAAACAGCGGCACATATTCCGCGGCGGCGGTAGGGACTTCGCAGCCTCCGTCGCTGGGAGCGGAGGACTACCGCCGGATGCTTCAACAAATCGCTCTCTCTCGCCGGGAGAATTCGCGGACGGAGATTCCATCGCCGCGGAATGTTAGCTCTTTTAGACTGTCCCGCTCCGATCAAACCCTAGAAGACGCGTTTTCTCGCCTCAATGTTGACTCGGACGATTATCTTCACCACTATCATCATCATCATCAGCCTTCGTATTGGAGTTTCGACGCCGAGTTTCAGAGTCCGACCTCGCAGAATGGCGGCAACGGTTGGGCTGTATGGTCCGATACGAATGGCTTCGAACGCTTGACGTCAGATCCCTATCTACTGAACGGTATCAATGAACAATCTTTGGTGATCAATTCTAGTCCGTTGATGACTCCAACCTACACGAACTCAAACGAGTCGTCTTCTAATTTCTTTGGGAATGATACAGTGTGCCGAAATCTAGAAAACAACGAGCGTCACCAGAGGGTTCAAGAGAATCTGAATTTCGTTCCTGTGGAACGCTTGCGTGGGAAGATTGCTTATTTGGCGAAGGACCAAAACGGCTGTCGGATTCTGCAGAACACAATGGAGGGCCTGACGAATGCTCGCGAAATTGAGATGATTTTCGTCGAGGTGATCGGACACGTGTGCGACTTGATGCTTGACCCGTTCGGGAACTACGTTGTTCAGAAGCTAGTGGAGCTCTGCAACGAAGAACAGAGGACGCAGATCATTGCGATGCTCACTAGGACCAATTTTCTGCTCGTTAGCATTTGCCTTGACATGCATGGGTGCGTTTGGGGGGTTTTTTTTTTTCCCAATACTTTTTTGGATATCTTTCGGAGAAACAGATGAAATATGTTTGTTTGTTTTATTTTTTATTTTTTATTTATTTATTTATTTTTAACTTTTTATGGTGGCAGGACTCGTGTGGTGCAGAAATTGTTGGAGCATGTTACTAGCAAACTTCAGGTCGCTTTGTTTATGCAAGCTATGAGCCCATATGCCGTCCCGTTCAGTAAAAGTCCTAATGGTCAACATGTCATTCAGTATTGCTTGAGACATTTCTCTGATGAAGACAACGCGGTATGGTTCTGTCCTGTTTACCCAATTTGTGATGACTTTTCTTGGTTTGTTACGATACTCTAGAACAGAAATTGATGTGTGTTTTTGTCATATTCATACCCCTATTATGGTTGTTAATTGCTACTTTTCGTTTCCGATGTCAATTCTTGGACATACATGCATTTGTTCATTCAGAGCAACCGCTTGAATTTATTAGTTTAGAATATCACCAATCTTTTGTTGCTTTCTAGACATTGGGAAATTTCAGTGTTGAATTTGACTTTCAAGTCTCGCTTGGAATTTATTGGAGACCTGTGGAGTACATATCACGATTAGCTATAGTTAACATGCATAAGTCTCAAAGTATAGTATTCTTGTGATAATTAATTTTTGTTTTGGTCCTCCTCTCTGTTATAGCTCCGACCACGATGGCTGGAGCTCAGCCAAAAATCATGCTTAATACTCCCTTTTATGGTTGCAATGCTTCTTTCATGAGTGGATGGAATTATAATATTAACTATTTGTTCATATCTATTTCTTTTATGACTCATTGATTCGGTGCTGCATATCTCTCAATGGTGTTATATATGATGGCTGCAACTGGAGTTCCATATTAGGTACTTGGCGGTTTGTTCACCAGCAAGTAAACTTGCATAGAAAAATTGATTGACAGATCATTTAAGCAAGATAAAAACCTGTTCTTAATATTTACGTTGCACAAGAGTTCTGTACTTTTTTGAAGTTCTAACTCTTTTCAATCACAATACCTTATCAGAATATCTCCTGCCGTCGAATTTTCTGGGGTAGGAGAAATGAGTAAAACCAGATGGGCCCCGATGCTTATCTTTTCCGTTTCTTTTTTGAAAAAAAAGGGCATTTCCTTTTGTGTGGGGACGAGATAGCTGTGTCTAGTTTTCATTGTTCTCTTGTAACTCTCCTTCTCACTTGTATCATTCCCCTTCCAAAGTTTTGACTTTATGGACGTGTTTAGAACTCGTTTCAAAATGATTTTATTTTTTGTATGAAATGAAAATAAAAATGTTTTCAATTTCAGACAAAAATCATTTTTAAAAATGCGTTTGGTAGTTTTATCAAGAGATTATTTTCAGTGTAAAAAAATTCATTAATGTCTCTCTTTCTCTATCTCCTCGAGAGAGGAGAAAACGAAAACAAAAAATAAAAAATGACTAAAATTGTTTTTTATTTCTCTCTCATTTTACATTAAACTAAAAAATCGTTTTCATTTTTATTTTTTATTTTTATTGCGCCAAACGTCATTTTGAAAATATTTTCATTTTCTTTTTGAAAAATATAAAAAATAAAAACGGGATCAATTCTAAACACGGCCTATGCTTCTGTCGTAGGATTATAGTAATGATATGTTTTTGATTCTCTCTCTACCTCTAGTCTATGGATTTTTGCATAGAGAAAATGGAATTTTTAACAGAGGACCCACCTTAAGCTTCACTTTCTCGACTATTTCTGTAACTTTCCAAATATTTGTTTTACAGATGCAGTTCTTGTGTGAAAGACGATTGCTCTCTCCCTGTGCCTTATGTTTTTCCTCTTTTTCAGTTGTTAATTTCCTGGATAAATTGTACAAAATTAACTGGAGTTGGATACCATTTCATGGTTTGGTTGTTTAAAATGCATTTGCTTGCTGAAGAGAAAGTAATCACCTAGTGATTTGTATTTTACGATAAAGACTGCATGCAAGTGGATTGTTCTAGTTTCCAAGTTTATTTTTATCAGAGGCGAAGAGAAGTCATTGAAAATAAGGCATTTGTGATATGGGAGGCGTGGCTGCATGAGTTATCATACTTGCGCTTTTTTGGTGATGTAACAGTTTTTGGTTCATGTGTTTGCAAGTATGAGTTCTGCTGCAGATATGTTTATTGTTTTCTTCCTTTTTCTTATCTTGAAATCCAAGCTAGGTGTGAGTGCACGTTTCTTTTAATCTTTCCTCCTTGCGTGTTTACATTTTACAAAAATAAAAGCGCTTTGGCTTTTCTAAGACTGTCTAGAAATAAATACACTTTTACCATCTTATTCTCATGGTTATTGCTAAACTTAGTCGCGTCTTCTAATAGAACTGGCTATAACAAAGTTGAAGTATGACTAGCATTTTCGTAGTCATGCATGTTTTTGACATATGGATGTATTCATGCACAAGTATTTGTACTTTTATAAAGAAGGGACCTCTTTCTCGTCATTAGATATTGTGTATTCTAGTCATCTGGAAACTTTCAGAAACTTGGTGCTTCAAACATTCTTGAATAAAAGCTTGAAGCAGTGAATCCGGAGATTCCAGTTTATATAATTTCTAGTTCAACTTTGTTTTATATGCAAAAAGATCTAATTGAACTTTTACTTGCAGCACCTTCTAAATGAGGTGGCTGATAACTGTATAGAGGTTGCCACCGATAAAAGCGGATGTTGTGTGCTGCAGCAATGTGTTGAAAACTCTCATGGGCATGTCAGAGATCGTCTGGTGGATGAAATAATAGAAATGGCAATACTCCTCTCAGAAGACCGTTATGGGTTTGTTCCTACTAAATTTAATCAAGCTTTTGGTTTTCCACAGAAAAACACAGTTTTTACTCACTCAATATTCTTTTTCTTTATTGCTTTGCCTACATCCAGCAACTACGTAGTGCAATATATACTGGGTATGAAAAGCCCAGAAATGACTACACGTCTCTTCATCCAGCTTAGAAGTAGTTTCATGTCTCTTTCCCTCGGTAAGTATGGCAGTAATGTCGTGGAGAAGTGCTTGAGAGAGTGTGATGAATTCCAAGCTAGTAAAATTATCAAGGAGTTGCTCAGAAATCCAAATGCTCCAATGCTCCTTACCGATCCATATGGAAACTATGTTATTCAATCGTCACTATCGGTATCTAAGGTCAGATCTGGGAGACTTTCTTTCATAGTCTGCATTTTTCTTTTTACATTTTAGATTCAATTGTGTTGATAAATTATGAACTATAGTGCTCAAAACCATCATATACATAGGAATATGCACAATAAGAGATGAAGGAGATGTTTATGGAGCTAGCAGACGCTTGATTGAGTTATTTATTATAATCTATTTTATTTATCTATTTATTTATTTATTTTTGGTTTTGAGAGCAGGGTGAGGTCCGGAGGGAACTACTAAATCTTGTTGACCGTTATGCCCAGACAATGCGCAGCAATCTCTATGGCAGGAAGATACTGGCATGGTTAGAAAGGAGGAATATTCAGCTTAGATCAGACATGTATGTATAGTACAGGTACGAGGTAAAATGATAGTTTAAAGAGTTTTGGGACCTCTAGGTTGGCAGTCATTTGTTGTTGCTGTTTCGTTGTTTTTTGTTGTTAGTGTGGATGAGCATCCTCATCACACTACATGCCTGCTATCATATATATCATATATAAAGTACTAGTAATGTCTGTAGAATGTACTTTCCAGTGGTTGTTGTTTTCTTTTTAATTTCTTCTCTGGGGAATTGGTCGAAGATTTTGGTGTTGAGAAACAACACGAGGTGGAATTGGGAGATCCGAAGCTGTATAGGTCTGTAGGAAGCTAACATGGATTTTTATATCAATTTGCTATTGTATCTCTAGACTAAAATTGCATTATTAGCATCTCATTTGGCGTTCGCTGATATTCTCTCTGTTCTGTCTTTGGTTATTGTTATTATTATTGTTGTTGTTGTTATATAGGTTCACATATGTATATGAGATTCATAAATAACAATACGTGAATATCAAAAGCCAAAAAAAAAAAAAAAAAAGATGGGTGGTTGAGAGTTGAGAGTTGAGACTTACAAAATAATGAGAAGACGGGAATATCAAAAGCCAAAAAAAAAAAAAAGATGGGCGGTTGAGACTAAAAAAATAATGAGAAGACGGGATGTGGGAAATAGCGGAGAGAGCTATTTTAAAGGTTAAGAGTTCAGTCACTAAAATTTGAAATTTAACCAAAATTTTATTTTATTATTTGTATGTACAATAGCTGAATTTTCTATTGAATATAAACTGAAGGTTCATTTTTTACAAAAAAAAAAAAAAAAAAAAAAAACCGTGAAAGTTCATCTTGGTTTTCATGTGAAATGAATTTGTATGGCTAAACTACCGATAGTTCTTTATTTTCAACCATTAAATTTGTATTAAAAATTATTTATTCTGCATATTTTTTTAATGTGATATAATTTTAATCAGATATAACGATCAAAAATTGACACTATCGATGTGACTAACCTACTAGACAAACTCTCAAATATATTTCAGCTTCGTTTATTTCACTGATTCGAGTTTTTTTTTACAGTAAAAAGCTCTCAGAAATATTCACATCTAACTTTTTTACTACAGTAAAAAATTCATATAAAATCATATCTCAATTCAAATTAAAAATTTAAATAAGTGAACTAAATGTTGTTTTAAATTTTTCTCGAGTTTTTTAAAGTTTTTAACTTTTTTTGCTTTATGTGGTTGTGACAAAAACCAATATGAAAAGTGTATCTCTCTAACCGTTACGAGGTGACAAATTAACAAATGAAATCGTACTGAACGCGTATAAAGATAGAAAGCAAACTCCGAACGAACAAAAGAATTTTGGTGCTGTTTTGCGATCTCAAAAGTACATTTTATTTATTCCATGTTTCCGGAATTTTTAAGGGCTATTCAGTAACTTTCAGCCAAAAGAAAAAATGTGACACAGAAATCAAATGGCGAAATTGACGTGGGTATCTCGATCAATTCATAAGGATAAGGTCTCATCTAATTAGTGCTAATCACGCGTAAAGCATGTGCGAGTTATGAGTTATGAGCTTTTCAGCAACTTCTCAGCGTCGTTAGCACGTCGGTGATAGAAAACTGCAACTGATTGTGTAACGTTCGTAGATCAGTTTCGGAGCATCTTTTCCTGATGCTACGTCTTAAGTACATGTTTTCTTTATTGATGATGTTGCAGTTTCAAAGTTCGTACGATTGTAATTGTTGAGGTTAGTTTTCATAATGACACTGAATTGTATTTCGCTTTTATTTCAATAAGCTCTATATAATAAATTGAAGCTTGTAATTTTTTTTTTAATCAAAAAGCTTCTCTGTAAAATATTACCTTTTTCTTCCTTTTTTTTTTCCTTGAATAATTCGCTTAGTATAAACTGTCGTTTTCAATTTTCTGGTATCATAAAGAGACCAAACACATTTATAGAGAGTTTTTTTAGTAGTTCGCCTATCCATAGTTTCAATTTTTTTATTGTTAAATCTAATTAAAATTTCATCAAATTTAAAAAATATACAGAACAAACATATTTATAATATAAATTTGACAGTTAAAAATAAGAAACTACCAATAATCAATTTTTACTGGAATTATCAGAAAAAATCCCTAATATAGAAACCTCATCAGTTAAATAAGAAAGAAAAAAGGAGACAAATAACTACTTACTCTTGACTAACATCTTTTTTAATTAAATATTTGATTAGGAGACAAATAACTACTTACTCTTGACTAACATCTTTTTTAATTAAATATTTGATTAATATATATTTTTAATCAAATAACTATATATTAGTGAAAAAAGTATTAATTAATAATAAAAAGTAAAGACTTATACACCTTCTGAATAAGTTTAGCAATTCTTTTAATAAAAAAATATTAGTTAGAAACTGTTTCTCTTTCCCATTTTCCAAGTCCAAAAAAAAAAAAAAATGTTGGATCCTAATTGTTACTCTTTTTTTTTTCTTCCTAACGTTGGATCTTAATTTATTGATTTATCCATCCATTCTCTCTAAGGCTGTACATGGGTTAGGTTGGTGCGGGGTATAACTTTTTCTTACCCTGTCTCAAAGGGTATGTGCAACCTCAAAGGGTGTGGGTTGCACATATTTAGCCCTAATGATGTTAGAAAAATTTCACAACCCAATGATGTTTGGATTTGGTTGGGGCAGGGAAGGGTGGGTTGGGTGGTCAGGTTTATCATTCAAAGAATCAAAGTTTAATCCAACATTCAAAGTTCATCATCAAATAGAAATAATACTGATTAGTCCATCATTTAATAGATAGCAATTCAAAGTTTAATCCAACATCAAACATGTAGCAAAGTCATCAATCCAACATCAAACATAAAGCAAACATAAATTAGAGGCTTAATTCAAATCCATCTAAAGCAAGCACTGCAACAACAACCATCATTATCAGTCTACACTCATAGGCTCCTTATCAGACATGTTTGTGCGGGTTAGGTTGGGGTATGCGGATTATTATAGGACCAACCCACAAACCGCCCTAAACACCTCGGGCCATACATTTAGTGGACCGAAAAACAAAAAATAAAACTATAAGTTGCATTTTTCGGATTGAGTTAGGGGGGATGGGTTGGGTTTGCGGATTGTTCAAGTTTATGTACTTCCCTAATTCTCTCCTTAAACAAAAGAATGGGTTTCTCGTGTGGGCCGTTTTATTGTCCCCACGTTTCGTTGATTTTTTTTCTCTCTTTTTCAAGCTTTTTTTAAAATTTTTTTTCTTTTTCTCCCTTATCTTTTTTTATTGCATTTTTTAATCTTTGATTTTTATAAATTTTCAACTATATCTCCTTTAAATACTTTTTTTGCGGTTATATTTTTTCTTAATTATCTTGTTAAATTAATTTATTCTCAAATGAGTCTCTACATAATTATTTTTTGTCTGTGATTTTCATAAATTTAAGCTTAAGTTGCAAAACATTTCGCATAAATTTTTTCTTAAATTTTTTCTTTTTTTCCCATTTTTTGCTTTAGATTTGTTTTCTCACTTTTGTTTTTATTTTTTTTACCCTTTCTTATTTCTTTCTTTTTTCATAACGATTGTATAACCGTTATTTTGAATGAGTCACTTCGCGCGTATTTTGAACTAGTATTTATGAAAATTATGAACAAAGCATGGTAAAAAACATTGAGCGCGTTTGGTTTCAATCTCAAAAACATTTTTCGAGAAATAAAAACTGAAAATAGTCTCAAAAACGCGTTTGGTTTGTGTTTTCTTAAAAATTAAAACTGAAAATGTTTTTGACCCTTTTCATATTTTGTATACATTTTTGAAAACGGTTTATACTCGTTTTTCATTTTTTTCTTTCCTCGTTGTTTTTCGTTCTCCGTTCGACTACACTGTCTATGTCCGCCAAAAGGGACTCTATCATCGCCGGCGCCACCACCGGCGACTTCCTCCAGATGCGCCCGGAGTTCGCCGCCTCGGGTGGGGATGGGCTTCTCCGACTGCCCCC